TGAGTATTGAAATTTATACAACTGACACAGTGACAGTTAGTCTTGATCGAAATTATATCTGAGCTAGGGTCTAGAATCAAAAACACAGTACATTGAACAACTTATAATACTGCAATATTTAGAAATGGGTATGAAGAGTATGACTTTTCATTCAAACCAAATATATCATAACGTACTTTAATATTGTACCAGACAGTGAAGAAAAAGATTGTTCAAGCTCTCCGAATTCCCAGTGATTCAAAACTTAAGGAGCGGTGCTCGTCGCATAGCGTGTGTTCACATTTCGTGTAAGCAAACAATACGGGTTGAATACATTAGTTCCATATCGAACACGACGCGGCGCGACAACCACCGCGCTTTAAAAACAGAATCTACCTTGTCCGGGGAAGAAGATGTGAAGCAAACTAGAAAATGGAAATTAACGATCCCCAAAATAAATGATTTCCATTCTTTATTTATTTGTGGTCATAATGTTATTGCGATAAGCAACATTTTTATAATTATATTTGCAGGAAATCGAGATCTTTTACAATCTCACAGCATGTGGAAGGCATTTGTAAATCACTACCAACAAAACCGTTGTATAGTGGATGCTCGTCAGTTTCTTTCAAGGTTGTAAATTGTATGGGAATTTGTATGTACAATCAAGATTTGCAATCACGTGATTTGGCGGTGTGAAAATATCCATATATGGTAATTCGTGCTACAGCCAAGATCCGCATTCACGTGACTTAGTGATGTTAACTGTCAATATGTGATAATGTACAGTACTGATGTATGTACTCAAAACAACTCAGACAAGAAGTGTATTTTAATGGCAATTTTTAAAGTTTTTATTTTTTAATATTTTAATTATTATTTTTATTCCTCGCAAATCACGAAGACTGAGAAATGTATACACATTTAAAAATGACAGATTATATTCATTTCAAGTATGTATATACATGACAACCATAATACATTTAACTTTACATTTACTTATAACGAAATTGTAAAAAAATATTATAATAGTTATTTTAAAATGAGCTCGAAATAATTTAGTGAATTGTATTATAAAAAAAAAATATAAATTTATAATTCTTCAACCCATTTTTAACGTAACATTTACACATCATATCAATGGGTAGCCCAAAACGAGACTAACAAAATATGTAACTTTTCAATGCATAAAAAAACTGCATTCCTCCATATCAAATAAGCGCATTGTAATAAATGTTTAAATATTTGTTATCATCACTGAAGTGCATTTACAAATTTTTAAAAATCTTTTGAAATATTTACAATTTTTTTTTTCGGGGTAAAGGCTACATAAAATTTGATCTATATGCACATTAAACACTGTGGTTGCAATCTATATTTTATAGAATTACAATCTTATATTATCTTGTATTATATCATATTATATTAAATTGTACATTTCATTCACGAATTAAACTGTGTGCTGTATTAATCTCCAATGTTCTCATGCTTATTGGATAGGTAAAGAAATCACGACGCCACACTCATTCATTTTATGCAAATTACAACGATATGTCATTCAAATGACGTCAGTAGTGACACAGTATATTGTAACCCATATATCTTTAAAATTACACGATTTTACTAAAAATAGTACTAACGTGGTTCGCGGCATGCTTGCGATATTGCAAAGTAAATTTCGAACGTGTACAGATGTGTGTGGAAAACCTAGATTTTCTACATCCAAGAAAATATCTGGATACCGAACAAATCTACTGGTCCAAGACAAACCTACATCACAAACTCCCTCACCAAACTTGACTACATGAGCCTGGGGTGACAAATGAGCAATTGTTAAAGTAGTAGCGTGAGCTTACAACTTTGAACCCCTATTTCGGCAACTGTTAATTAAATGTTTACCCAAAGACATTAGACATTATTGTCTTTGGTTTACCCAATCTGATTAAAATCTGATGTAGTGTACGGGCTTTAATTATTTTGGCCATAAACTTATTTTTATTTAATTTTTCATTACTCTGTAATTAATGCCTTTTTATTTTATTATTTTACTTTGATTTTGATTTTGATTTTGTGATTTTTTTTGGCTTTTCACAATTACCAAAACTTCAAAACATAAGTACTAGATCAAAATAAAATATAATAAATATACGAAAAAACAAACAAAAAACTAGGATCTTATTTTAATCAGATTGTTATTTACCCAAACACCATGCAGTTAT